GCCGCCTGGGGCCCGCTGGAGGTGGAGATGAAGGGAGGAGGGAGCCCAGCTCTAGGATAGGAGGCCACGGCCGAAACGGGGCAGGTTAAAAGGATAAGTGAGGGAAGAGGATCGGGAGCAGAGGCGGACACTGCGCAAGGGGCAGGGGGACTGGTGGCAGCACAGAGAGGGCAGGGGTCCAGGCCTGTGGCAGAACCACCCTCACCAGGAGCTGCCGCCCACACCCAGGGCCGGAGCCAACCAGCACGACTGTAGTCTCGAGTTACCTGGAGCACGGGGGCCAGGCTTGTTAAGAGAGGGGCCAGGTAATGTTTCTGAGGGAAAGGAGATTCCTGCCCTCCTGGGGTTCCCTGGGGCAGCCCCGGATCTGAAGGATTGGATCTCCCCACTTCAAAGGGGCCCCAAGCTGCTGAAACCTACACCGATGCACACCAGGGGGCTTTGCCAAGTGTCTGGGCTGGGGCGGGAACCCGAGACCCAGGGCACACGCTGCCCCAAGCCTGCCCCATGATCTGAGCGCGGAAAGCTAGTCCTGGAGCCCCCGGAGGGGCAGCTGGCATTGAGGACCCTGCGACACTGCAAGTAGAACGTCGGGCCTACTGATTGGGGGCTGAGGAAAGAGGGTGATGGGGTATCGGAGCTCTGCCCACAGGCTCGGCACATAGAGGCAGGGCACCCCAGGGATGGGGAGGGGCCACTGAGGCAGGAGTGAGGTAAAGAGCCATTCTGTCCAGCATGGGGCAGGCATGGTCCTGAGCAGGCCTGCTTTACCTCCCGTGTGCTTTACTACATGCTGTATGACTTGAATAATCATGACACCTCATCTATCCATTGACTTTTCCTGTAAGCGCCATGAGTCAGAGGCAGTGAATTAGTCACTCACCGCTATATGCCCAGTGCCCAGCATAGCATCTGACACGAATGCGCAGATCTGTGAGCAAATAAATGAATGAATGGGAAGATGTAGTGAAAGCTCTTCTACTGAGTCACTGGTGGCCTCCTGTGGTCCTCCTCCCTCTCTGGGCCTCAGCCTGCCTGCCTCCACCGGGAAAGGGGGCACAGTGATGCCAGGACTTACATTAAAGCCTGGGGTTCTCTGCTTTGGCAGGATGAATGCAAGTTGGTGTAACCGATTACTTGTCTATTGCTGTGTGACATATAGCAGCTTAAAGCAACACCATTATTATCTGTTTCTATGGGGCAGGAATTTGGGCACCTGGGCTGAGAGGTCTGGTTAGAGCCTCTCAAGCGGTTGCAGCTGGAATGTCAGTAGGGGCTGCTGTCTCATCTGAAGGCTCAACTGGGGCTGGAGGAGCCACTTCCAAGCTGCCTCCTCATACAGCTGTGGACAGAAGGGCTAAGTTCTCATGGACCCTCCACAGGGCTGCTTGCATGTCCTGATAACATGGCACCCTTGAGTGACCGATCAGACAGAGAGCAAGGCAGAAGCCACAGTGCCCTTTATGCCCTAATTTCTAAAGTCCAACCCCCTCACTTCCACCATACTCCATTCATTAGCAGTGAGTCACCAGGGCCAGTCCACCTTCAAGGGGCGGGAATTGAGCCCCATCTTTTTGAGGAAGGAAGATCAGAGGATTTGTGGCCAAATTTTAAAACCACCCCAGGGATTAATTTGACAGATTCTCTGCAAATCACAAATGCATTTGCCTTTTGACCCCACCATCTCAGAGTTTACCTTGCGGGTCTCACTAGCACTTGGTTTGTTGTACTGTTTGTAAGGTCCATATAGGATAACCCAGTGTCCATCCGAGTCTACATACGTGACTGTTCATCCATTCTGCAGAATATTCTGTAGCCGTGTGTAGTGGAGAAACAGGCAGACGGACAGACAGGAATCTCTTTATGGAGTGCTATGGAATTCTCTCTAAAATACGTTGTTAAATGCAAGAGAGGTGTGGAACAGTGAGTGCAGTAGACTATCTTTTGTTGAAGAAAGGGGGAAAATAGGAATGTTTATTCATATTTGCTGGTATTTGCCCCAAGAAACTCTGGAAGGAAACGTAAGAAGTTTCTGTGTGCTTACAAAGCAGGACAGGGGAACAGGTCAATGGGCCAGGGTGCAAGGTGAGGCTTCTCACTGCAGAACTTTGAACGTTATCTCGAGTTCAAGAGCCACACAAAGGTGCGATCTATGCACACACAAGAAAGTAACAAAAAGAAATGTAAAATAATCATCAAACCTGGGGCAAAGGCAGACCGCTGACCCCCAGCCCTGCAGGGTCGCCTGGCCGAGCTGAGCTGCCTGCCGGCCTCCTGAGCTCACCATCTCCCTGTAGCCCCATGACGGCTTCCTGGTACCCTAGGACCCTGCTGGCCTTGCTCGGTGCAAGGGGACCTCGCCTGGGAGCCACTCACTCCACCCGACTCCTCCCAGGGCTCTTGGCCCCCAGCCAAGCACCACATAGATTCTGACACACTTTCCATTTTCCTTGCAGCCAAGAAATCCTCATTCCTCAAGAAGCCGTGCAGCGACCCAGCTGAGGTCCCGACTCCCAGGTATGTAGAAGAGGACGGCTGGCCTGGAGGCTGGCAGGCCACCACCCAGCCGGGATGCCCCTGTCCTGGCCTCCCCACCCACCCCACCCCGGCCCCGTCTCCTTGTCTCCCTCCACCTCCCTGCTCAGGCGGTAATTGGGGCTGCCAGCTGCCTTCCTAAGAGACCATCTCCCCAAGCCAGCTGTCAGGGCCGACACGTGGCTTCTAACCGCAGCCCTGAGCCAGTGAGATGAACTTTCAGGGTGGCAGCTTGTCACCTGATGTCCTCCACCAGCCAGCAAGTCAGGCCTCCTCACATCAGACCCCTTCTTTCCTGAGAGAAGCCTGGGGCACAGTTGTTTAAAACCAACAAATGAGCTCTTCTTCCTGTTTTCAGACCCCGTCCAGCCTTCCCCAAGCCCCTTCTTGTAGTTTCCTCACGACGTTTCTCTTTGTGCTGATGAGCAAATCGGGATTAACAGTTACGGTATTGACTGGAAAATACGTTGCCCCCCACCCCCGACTTTTTCTGCTAAATGCTTTATGAAGTTTATTCACTGATTTCGCCCTTGCCATGATCCTTTGAGATAGTTTCCAGTGTTATTCCCAGATCACAGATGAGAGAAGCCAAGGCTGGTTAAGGCTGGCAGAGGTGCCTGGGGGCATGCACCCTGCATGGGCGGGGAAGTCAGAACCAGGGTCCCGCCCACCCACCCTCTCAGAGGCTGCTCAAAGCCTGGATCTGAGGGGCTCACTATCTGACAACTACTCCTCCTCACCTGCCACCCGCTAAACAACTCTGGAAGCTGCCCAGGCCCCAGGCCCTCCCCACTTCTCTGCACCAATGTCCCAGTGGCGGGCTGCTCAGGAGCAGGTGAAGGAGGCCCACAAGCCCAGGAGGCCCTGGGAGTTCAGAGGCCCTCAGCACCTCTGCGCGGCCGACCTCATGGACATTGCCTGTTGCAGTTGGAGCCCTTGGGCCTGGGTCTGGAAGTTGGCCTGGGTTTTAACCCCTTAGGCTGTCTGAGAAGTTCAGGAGGGGAGGTCCCACAGGCCAGAGCCCCTCCTACTCCTAAGGAGGGCCAGGCACCAGCCCGCAATGGGTTCAGAGAGGGCTCCCAGACAGACTTTCACTGAATCACTGCCCTGAAGCTGCATGAAGAGCTATGCCTGTGGGGCGTCCCTGGAGCTAACGGTAAGGGGACGCCGTGGCCTGGGTCAGAGTGCACGGAGAAGCAGGCCACCCTTGTCCAAGCTGCGGGCTGCGGCCTGGCTGCCCGCTTACTTGGGGTCCCACTTACCCACCCTACAAAGGCCTCACTGTCCTTCAAGAACTGGCCCAGTTCTGAGCAGTTCCTTTCCAGGCACAGAACTCTTTCTCCAAGTTTCCTCAAACAGCCTTGCACCTGCCTGTGCTCACAGTTCCTACCCCTGAATGCCCTCTACATCCTTGTGCCATGAACCTGGCCATCCACATGGCAAGAACAGATGCTGCCTCCTCCAGGAAGCCTCCTCTGATGCCAGCCAGGCAGGAGCGCCCTCCTCTGACCCCTGTAGGCCCTAGGTTAAATTCTATCTAGCATGCAAAATGTGTTCAATAAATGTCGCTTCCTGACCCCCATGCTTAGCTTCTGTGGGCCCTCCAGGAGCTCTGAGCCCAGGCCAAGTCTCTGAAGCTACTGTCTGTCTACTCCCCTGGTCACTGTGCATGGGGCAGGCATCCAGAAGCACTTGTGTGAGTGTGAACTCATGAACAAGGGGTCAGCCCCAATAAGTGGCCCTCCCACCAAGAGCAGCTGGTTCTGGCTGCTGGAAACAAAAGGGCCCTGGTCTGACCCCCTCCCCCTTGGCAGATGGAGAAGCAGCCCAGAAGTGGACAGTGCCCCACCAGCAACCAGGCAGCCAACCCACCCACAAGACAACCAAGCAGCCTGGCTACAGCTTGTGACCTCAGCCCTCGAAAAAGCAGCAAGGCGGATTCCCAGGTCTCAGCTCTAAAAGTCTCTGCTCAGAAGTAGCATGAGTCACTGCTGCTCACAGCTAGTAGCCAAATGGAGCCATGTGGCCAAGCCTACCGGCAATGGGACAAACAGGAGCAAACCTTCCATGGGGACAGTAGAATCTTAGTCATGTGATCTACCACCTGGATCCCCAACGGGGAGCCTTCTGAGCAGAGCTCAGGGCTGCCTAGAAGCCGCAAGTGCCCCTGAGAGCAGGTGGGGCTGTGCGGTCAGAGGCATCTGCTCCTCCTTAAAAGCCCACACAGGATGGCTCAGGTGGCCCCACCTAAGGTGTGGCTGCGACTTGGACAGACCCCATGCACAGATGGGGACACTGAGGCTGGCATTCCAGGAGGGAGTGCCCCTGCGTGCCAGGCATCACGCCAGGTCACATAGAATGTTAAACCTTAGGACGACCTTGTGAGGGAGGCACCATTACCGTCCCTATTTCAAAGGTATGAAAATTGACCTTTCCTCAGTCATGAATGCCTACTATGTGCCAGACTCCAGGCCATGGGGAAGGAGCAGGGAATAAGCCACAGGCTCCCCAGCTGAGCAGCCACGGGCTCAGGCAGAAGCAGGAATAGTCAGAAAACCACACAAACAGTGGACAACACATGAGCAACCTGCTGTATGTACAGTTTGGACACAGAGACTCATGTCATCCCACAACAGGACTGTACGGTTTGGACACAGAGACTCATGTCATCCCACAACAGCCTCATCGGAGGGGCTCTCCTGGGATCTCCATCTTCCAGGCACAGGGAGGCTGGGGGACTAGTCACAGGTCCCATAGGAGGTCAGTGGCTGAGCCAGGACTTGCCCCAAGCGGTTCAAAGTCCGGCAGGGGGAATGGCATTGCACAGGCCCTGCCCCCTCTCATGCAGGGGGCTTCATGAGGGCTGCCACTGTCCCCACACCAGGCATAGGCTGGCTGATCAGGTGTCCAGACCATGTGTGACATGGCTTGGGGAGGCCCCTCCTGGGGACCCCCTGGGCCCTTCACTAGCTGTGAGGCCGTGGAAAAGTTACTCACCTCCCCAGAGGACAAGAGAAGTGATTGGTAGAAAGCATTCAGCTGCCCGGTCCCCAGCCAGGTGCTCAGAAGGAGCTCACAGCTGCTGTCATTTATTCATTCAACAAACTTCACCTACAAGCCCTTGCCCCAAAGCCTCCCAGTCTCAAGATGGAAAGAGGAGTGGAGGGTGGGCCTGAGGCAGTGGGGCCCAGAGAAGGGGATGAGACCTCTGCTTAGAGAGAAGGGGCCCCCAGGCTACTGAAATGGGGGCGGGGCCACTGGGCAGACCAGGCAGGGAAAGGGACAATGTGGTGCACTCTGCTGGCCAGTACTGGAACCACATCCACCCGGGAGAGGGACACGTGCCCCAAATCAGGCAAAACACCCGTCCTCAGTGGATGCAATTCCTGGGCGGGACTTCAAGTGCGGAGAGCAAGCACCAGTGGTGCCTGGTGCTGCCTAGATGTACAGATGTAGGCCCAACCCTGGGGGGCTGACCAGTGGACCCCCAGAGCAAGTGGCTTGAGGCTGTCCTGTGCTAACCAGCCCCAAGATTCCCACAGGACCAGGTGAGAGTCTCAGGCCAGACTCAGGTGTGTATAGTCTCACCCCTTATTTCCCAACTCGGCTTCAGATGCAAGGCCCCTCCTCTTGGCAGGCGAAGGTGTCCCCTGTGTCCTTCCTGGGCTATAGCTCAGGCTACACCAATGGCCACCAGGTGCCTGTCATCTCTGTTGTGTGGCCTCTACAGGTCTGGGGCCTCTCTGCTCACAGCCTGGCCAGCCCCCAGCAGGGCTGCTCTGAGGTAGCCGGGGGTCTTCTGAGACCGTCAGACCCCAAACAGCACTCTCTTTTTCTCTTTCTGCCTCTCGCCCTCTCCCCGACCCCTAACCCCTGGTTTAGTCCAGAAGGAACCCTTTTCTCCTCTTATGTCTCAAAGTGCCATCGGAGCTGAACTCCTTTCCCTAACAATGGGGGCTTTCCTGTCAGTTGCTTCTGATCGCAGCCTGTCCAGACCTCCATGGGAGCCGCAGAGCCTCCATGGCTCCCTACTCACTTCCATCCTTTCCTTGCAGGCTCCGCTCAGGACCATGAGACCAGGCTTCTCCAGCGGCCCCCAAGGGGCGAGGATGGCCGCCCGGCCCACTCCCTGCGGACACCCTCGGACCACCACATCTTCCTAGCGCCCAGACAGAGGGGCCATGCCTGGGGAGCAACCCCGTGGAGCGCCGCCCCCAACCATGACCGGAGGCTTGCAGCCCTGCCAAACGGCCAGTGGCATAGCCAGTGGCTCAGCTACACAGCACCCTGGCGAGGACAGTGCCCTGGCCAGCAGGTCCACCAAGGCCATCAGAGAGGCAGGCAGTGGGGCCCAGGCCCTGGAGCCTCCTGATACCCAGCCTCAGCAGGCTAGGGAGGTGGAGCCCAAGGCCCCACTCTCGAGAACCCAGCCCCTAATCATCCCCCATGGGAAGGGTAGCAGCCCCCAGGCCCCGCCAGGGAGGATCCACACACAGGCTCCCACGCGGCGTGCAAGCAGGGCAGACAGCAGCCCCAAGCAGCTCTACAGTCTGAGCATTGTGGGCTCGAAGGCCAGACCAGCCTTGGATGAGGGCCCACAGCCTGAGGGCCCACAGCGTGAAGCCCCCCAGCCCCCCGAGGCAGAGGCCCCACCTGCCCCAGAAGAGCTCAACTTCCAAAGGTGCTTCCAGGAGACCCCCTCCAGCTTTACCTCCACCAATTATACCTCACCGAGCACAACCCCTGGGCCCCCACCCCTCAGGGCCCCCCAGAGCAGCGACGCCAGTCCCTGCAGGCCGGCCTCCTACTCGGAATTCCAGGCCAGTGGGGCCACTGCCTGGCCTCCCACTGCTGAGAACAACTTTCCAGGTGCTAGTTTCGGGGTGTCCCCCACAGAGCCGGAGCCCTTCCCTGAAGGCAGCAGCCCCAGGGTGGCCTCCTTCCAGTTCCCCTTCCCTGCGCTTCATGGGGCCGGCCCAAAATCCTTCCCCGAGGACACAGCTGGGCCTAAGTACTCCAAGAGGGCACTGGTATTTGCCTTCCCCCAGCCTCAGGGAGCGTGGCCTGAAGAGGCGGTAAGCACGGGCACTGCCTACCCGCTGCCCTCCCGGCCTGCTCCCCAAACCCTGCCCTGCTACCCCAGCCAGCCCAGCGGCCTCAACTCCCCCAGTGACCTCGGCCATGCTCTCCCCCAACCTGGTGCTGCTCACCCGGTCCCCCACCCCTTCTCAGAGAGCACAGCCACCTTCCCAGACAGTTTGCACAAGAGCCTGACCAAAGCCCTCCCTGAGAGACCACCTTCAGCCCACAATGGGCTGGGGAGCCCCAGGGGACCCCCAAACTCTCTACCCCAGAGGCACTTCACCGGGCAGGTGTATGGAAGCCCCAGAGCCAGCAGGGTGGGCACCAGTCCTGGGTCTCTGGACACAGAGCTGGCCACCCCCGGGCCCCTGCCCACCAGACAGCCCCAGCTCTGGGACCCCGCCACAGCCCCTTACTCCACACCTCCCTTGGGGCCTCCATCCACCGCCAGGAGTGTGTTCTTTGAAGGCCAGCCCAGTCCAGGCCAGCGGCTTGGCCTTCCCCAGAGCCCCCCACTGCCCTGGCCCCAGGTGCTCCCAGCCACTGGGCCTAACCCCCATCGAGTAGAGATGCTGAGCCGGCTGCCTTTGCCCCCAGGGGCCCCAGAGTGGCAGGGAGGCAGCCAGGGAGCCCTAGGTGCTGCCAGCAAGACACCCGGGCCGGGAGAAAAGCTGACGTTGCTGAGAAACAGCCCGGGCCAGCATGGCAGTGGCTCCCCGGGGCTGTTCACCTACAACGGGCTGCAAGACCCCGGAGCCCAGCCCCTGTTCTTCGGGGTGGCCCAGCCCCAGGTTTCACCCCGAGGGACCTCTGGCCTGCCCCCAGCCAGGCTGGTGGGAGCTTCTCCCAATGAGTCCCCACTGCCTTCACCTGCCACCAACACGGCTGGCAGCAGCACCTGCTCATCACTGTCACCACTGTCCAGCAGCCCAGCCAACCCCAGCTCAGAGGAAAGCCAGCTCCCCGGCCCACTTGGGCCGTCCACCTTCTTTCAAACCCCTACTCACCCCCAGGAGACCAGCAGCCCCTTCCCGTCCCCAGAGCCCTCACACACCCTCCCCATTCACTACCAGCCAGAGCCAGTCAAGGCTTTCCCTTTCCCCACAGAGAGGCTGGGGGCCAAGGGAGCCTTCAAACACCTGGAGGAGGCCCCCTTCCCCAGCACGGTCCCTGATGTGGGCAGCGGGGGCCTGGAGGGCTTCCCCCCTGAGCCGCCCCCGTACTCTGCCCACCACTTCCCACTCAGCAGTGCCAGCCTGGACCAGCTAGATGTGCTGCTCACCTGCAAGCAGTGTGACCGCAACTACAGCAGCCTGGCTGCCTTCCTGGAGCACCGGCAGTTCTGCAGCCTGCTCCTGGCCAAGACCCGGGAGAGACACCAACAGCCCTCGGGGCTCCCCACGCCCCCCGCCACCCCCTCTGTGCTGGCCTCCCCCAAAGCACCAACCGGCGGGAACCCAAGCCCGCTCGGCCACACTAAGACGGTCCCCTTCCTGCTAGGGGGGGATGTCCGAGTGGACGGCAAAGATGACCCCTTGAGGACAAGTTTCTTGCCTGGCCTGGCTGCTGCCCCTTTCCCTCTCCCTGCCTCGGACCTGGACCTGGAGGACGACGCCAAGCTGGACAGCCTCATCACCGAGGCACTCAATGGCCTGGAGTACCAGTCAGACAACCCTGAGATCGACAGCAGCTTTATCGACGTCTTCGCCGACGAGGAACCTTCTGGCCCAAGAGGTCTCAGTTCTGGGCAGCTGCCCAAGACCAGAGTGGGGGCCATGCCAGAGAACAAAGCCCAGCTCCCTCTCCCGGCCGTGGCTGCCCCATTGGAACCCCAGGACCCCCGCCCTGGGAACAGGAGCTACCTGGCCCGCAACAGACCTAAAACCCGCTCCCTGGGCCCAGTGTCTGCAGAGGCCGATGGGGCCAGCCTGGCCAGCCAGCAGAGGAAAGGGAAGCAGTTTAAGTTCTTCCGGAAAGAACTGGGCACGGCCAACACCACCAAGAGGCCGGGCAGGAACACCAGAGCCACCTGCCTAAGGACCAAGAGGAAGGGCAACAGAGCTGAGCCACCACACCCCCGGGACCTTAGAACTCAGGGCCCCAAGGGCCACACAGATCCCAGTGGCCAGGCCCTCCCAGTGGAGACCAGGAGCTCTAAGCGCCTCCGACTGTCTCCCGGAAAGGATTCCAGGAGGAGGAAGACGCGGAGTGGCACCTGGAGCAAGGAGCTCATCCACAAGATTGTGCAGCAGAAGAACCAGTTGCACAAGCGGCAGGTGCGGCAGGACCAGGATGGGCGCGTCTCCCTGGCGAGCCAGAGGCCCGAGCCCAGCACCCTGGATGGCGGGCTCCAGGAGTACGACTATGCCTCGGAGTCTGAGGAGGAGGGTGCCTTGCAGCCACGGGGCTCCCGCGTCACAGGCCAGCCCCGCCACGGCTCTCAAAGGTGGCATCGGGGTGAGAAGAGAAAGGAAGTGGACTTGGCCCCGGGTTCCCGAGAGGATCGAGAGCAGCGGAAACCCAAGAAGGTCGTGAAGCAGGAAGTCAAGAAGCCAAGTGAGCCTTGCCCAGGCCCAGTTGAGAGCCCTGAGGCCAAAGCGGGCCCTAAGGAGAGAAGCCCCAAGCATCTCCTGCAGGTTCCCACCAGCGCCAAGACCCCAGAGGAAAACCACCCATCACTAGACTTTCCCCAAGAGACCAAGAACTCTGAAATTGCTGAAGAGTTTCCCCCTGATACCACAAAGCTGCTCAGAGGCGTTTCCAGTTCTTCTCCAGCCACGTGTGTGGAAGGAAGTCCCTGTCCCCCGGCCCCAGAGCAACCACAGCCAGGCAGAGAGGACACCATGGTGCCCCACAGGAGCTCACCAGCACCAGGTGCAGGCAGTCTGCTGGGCGTCTCCCCATGCACAGAACATCCCATCTCTGGTGACAAAGAGGACCCTCCTGCCTACCTGCCAAGAGAATTACTGGTGCCTGTCATTAACACCACCACTGCCTACCCTGAGCCCAACATCCTATTTTTAAAGACCCCTGATCTTGGCTGTGACCCTGCTCTTTTTAACAGAGACTCTGTGGCTCCAGCTACCAAAAAGGGGCCCCAGCCTTACAGTAGCCCCCACAGTGAATTGCTCCTTGGACCCAAAGAACTGGCTGGCTGTTTCCACGAAGACCTATACTCCAAGCCCTCAGCTCTAGACACTCTGCCAGCCAGCAACATGCACCTTCGCCAGGATGGTGTGGACACCAGTTCCCTCAAGCCAAAACCTCCCAGGAGTCCACCCTACACAGCCGACACAGACCCACACAAAGCCAAATCACCGCTGACCTCGGAGTCCACGCCTCTCCTCTCAGGGCTGCCCATGGATGGCTTCAACTCGCCCATCTATAGCAGCCTGTCTGGAAATGAGGATACCAACTCACCATCTGTGTGCACCGAACCTCCCCCAAGGAAACCCCAGCTAGACCCACCATACCCCTCACTTCTCCCTGAGAAAGGCTGGTCCTTGCTGGAGGAAGTGTCCCCGATGCTGTCCAGCCATCTGGGCCATTTTCCTGATCTCTTAGGGGAAAAGGCATTCAGTAAAAAGCGTCCCTGTGAAGGGACAGTGGCCTCCAGTCCTTCCCCTTTGCCCGGCAAGGTTAGTGAATGTAGCATCGCTTTTATGAACAGCCTGTCTGAGGATGAATTAGAGATCAAGAGATTGGTCACCGAATTAGAAAGTCAGTTGCAAAGTCAGGATGTACATGAGGCCCCAGGCGAGTTGTGTGGAGCTGAGCACAAAGGCAAGGTGTGCTCGGGCACAGGCACCCCTCTGCCTGGCCACCAGGCCACCTCGCCCCGAAAGGACACATTCTCTGCAACTGACCTCACTGGTCTTGAGGAACTGAGTCCACGCCAGGAAGGGGCAGAAACAACTGTAGCCACCAAACAGGGGACTCTGGGGAGTCCCAAGGAGGAATGGCCCTCATTCCATCCGGGAGAAGCAGCCCCTCTCCCTAGCACCCACAGAGACCGGATTTCTGGAGCTCCTTTCAGCCCCACTGGAGCCAGCCTCAGTTTCCAGCCAGTGCAGAATGTGAGAATCTCCAGGACGGGGCTTCCCGAGGCAGAAGAGAGCTGTAGGGTCCGCCCAGAAGCCTGTCTGCCCGACCCTAGAGAGCCACTCAAGCCTCCATCAGAAAGGGAGAGTTTAGTAAAATGCAGCCCAAACCATGAACCTTTACTTCTTAAAAATGACACAGCCACCAGAATCCATCACAGCAAAGACATCCTGCTGCTCCTTCCCTGCACACAGAGAAGAGGGCTATTCCCAGGATCCCTCAAGGCACAGGGGCCCTGCCAAGATGCGCCTGAGCTGGAAGCACTCAGCAGCCCTGTCGCCCATCTGGCACCTGACTTGGCATTTCAAGGTGCCAGGGTTCTGCATCTGGGTGCCACTCCACCTTCTGGTGCCAGTCACAGTGATATCACCAAGGGACACTCTGTAAGCATCACAGGCAGGCCAGAAGGAGCAGGGCCCCACCACCCTGTGGTGGGGGGCCTTGGCTCTGAGGATAATAAGGAGTTTGCACCAGCGGGGGCCTCCCCACATCCCCACCAAGGGACACTCTGTAAGCATCACAGGCAGACCAGAAGGAGCAGGGCCCCACCCTGTGGTGGGGGGCCTTGGCTCTGAGGATAGTAAGGAGTTTGCACCAGCGGGGGCCTCCCCACATCCTGCTTGTGTGCCTGATGCCAGTCCTGGCAGGAAGCCCCAGGACCCAGCCACAAGCCCCCTATGTCAACTCCAGCTCCTGGTGGCCAGAGCAGCTGAGAATGAAAATGACACACAGGGGTTACAGGGGCCTCTGCCTGCCAACACCCAGAACCTTCAACAGAGCAGTCCCTCAGATCGGGAAGGGGAGAGCATAGAAGGTGAGAACGTCACTCACAGTCCTGCTAAGAGCTCTGATAGGGGCGTGCAGATGACATCTGCCCCTGAAATGACCAGATGTCAGCTGGGACCAGAGACAGATGGACATCTGGGCTTGCTCGGCCAGGCTGAGAAGCTCAAAGGCCAAGGCAAAGCCAGCCAACTACAGCCAGATTACTGGGGGACCCCAGAGGAGCCAAATGACCTTGCCACAGTCAATGCTGATCCTGAAACCACACAGGCCAGCCCAGCTGGGGCTGCAAACCAACTAACGGGACAGCTCCAGGGAAGCAGGGCAGCCTTGGGCCTTCAGAATGAGGCACGGGCCATCCCAAGCCCTACCTCTGATGCAGCGTCTTTTGTCCCGACCTTGGCAGCAGCCCACTCCCAAAATGAGCCTGAGGACTGGACTCCAGAAGAGGCAGCCAGCCCAGGCCTTAAGAAGCACCTATTCCTCTGTGGGGAGAGCCCAGAACCCCCCATGAGTAACCTAGCCAGATGTGCCCCCTTGCCCATTTCTGTAGCTACCCCTGTTCCCTGCGGCCTTGAGCACCTGCTCCAGGAAGACCCTCCCACGATGCCTTCAGGTGAGCTGAGGGGGCTGGTCCCAGCCTCTCTATCCTGCAGAGACCCTACCAGCCCAAAGCACCTGCCAGCCTGTTCCTCTGCCTGGACAACTCCAAAAAGGGCTGACTGTACCCCAGCCCCCACAGATGATGGGGCTGGGGGGCCCCCCGCGGCACCCTCATCTTTAAGGACAAGCCCCTTTGGCCTCAAGGAAAGTCTGGCTTGCTGCCCTCTCCTGGGAGAACACAGCTCCCTGGAAGACCCTCCCTTGGGCCAGCCCAGTTTCGTCAATGTCTTCACTCCCACCCATGTTGGGGACCACCTTAAAGGCCACATTTCAAGAACCCTAGAGAGTTCCAGAAAAGAAAGGCTGAGGGGATCTTCTGTCTGTGACGCCCCTCCTCCCCCAAGAGTGACCATCAAGGCTGTTGCCCTACCCAGCATTCCCACCACAGGCATGGCGGCAGTCGGAGGCCCCAGGGCTGAGTGTCCAGACCAACGCTGCAGGGGAACCCCACCCCACACCGGCCCTGACAGGATGCCCAAAGGCCCCTCCTCAGAACCCCCAGGAAAAGGGGAAGGCCAGAGCACCACTACTGTGCCTGCCGACCCTTCCACCCAGGGGACCACAGGGCCAGAGCCCCATGCCTGCTGGGAAGGCCAGGTGGGGGCCAGCTCCCAGGGCCAGGAAGAACTGGAGATACCTGGGGCTGAGCACCCTGGCATTACAAAGGCCTCCGAAGCTGGTACTAGGAGCCCAACAGTCACTCGCTCTTACGAAGAGCTCCACCCAGGCAGAGCCACCTCTCTGAACAGCACAGCCAGCAACTCCAGAACCGATTCCCCCCAGAGCCTCAGAAATGTCCTCTACCAGATGCCCCAGGAGGACACCCTCTGTTCCCAGGACCCCAGACAGAAGCCTCGTGGCTTTAGAAAGAGACCCGTGTCCACTGAGAATGGCCACTGGAAGGACCGAGACCCCAGCGGGCAGCCCGTGACTTGTGAGGTTTGCTCGGCTACCTTCCGCTCCAGGCCGGGCCTAAGCCGCCACAGAGCCAGGAAGCACAGGCTGCACAGGGGGGCCACCTCCCAGCCAACTCCCCTGGTGCTGCCCACTCCCCACCCTGGGGAGCCCGCAGCCCAGATGTGCCGCACCCCTGGAAAGAAAAGCCGCAGGGCACCTGGAAAGGAGAAACTGAAGCACGGGCCGAGTGGCCCCAGCCACATTGCTGGTTCGCCTCCCATCCAGGGCTCCACGGCTCCTGAAGACATCCCAGGTCCTGACACATCCAAGGGGCTCAGGCGGGGGCTTGGCATTCTGGGAACACCAGGTTGTCCCCCCAGCCGGGAACCACAACCCCCAGGCCTGGTCAAGCAAGGGGTGGACATGAGTCCTGCAGAGCCCAGGAAACGGGACCGCCTGGAGAGGAATGAGCCTCGTCCCAAACAGGCAGCGAGAGGAGGAGGCCGGAGGTGGGGCAGAGAGCCCACAGACGTCCCCAGCAAGTCAGAGGGAAAATCAAATAAGAAAGCGAGAAAGCCAAGAACGAGAAGGTTCCGGGAGGATAGTAGTCCTCCAGTCTCTCCTGATGTGATTTCAGATAGGAGCCCCTGGAATCCATCAGCTGAGGTTGCCATTTGCCCAGCCCCTCCGAGCCACTGCCTCTCACCAGAGGCAGAGCTGGAGACCGAGGTCATACAGCCACCTCTCCCTGTGGCCACAGACCTGGAGAAGATGGCCACACAGAAGTCACCTGGGAATTGGGTGGCCCGTCCAGGGAGGATGAAGGGGGTGTCTCCCGGGGAAGGACCAGGGGAGCAGAAGGCAGCTTCGGCAAGGGGGTGCCAGGGATCCAGAGACACCAGGACATCGGGCATCTACAGAGGGCCATCACAGGCAGCTAAGGGTAAGCCTGCAAGGAACAGCAGAGTGGCCAAGAGTGAGTCAGGGCAAGGTGTCTGCGAGGGGCACAAGCCCCCATCTGGACCTCCAGGACCTCCAGAGAATTGTGGTTCTGAAGCAGGCAGCACCATCAGCACTTGCCTCCAGAGCCCCCTGCACAGCCCAGAAGACAGGGTCCAGGAACATGAGTGTGTGGCTCCTGAAGCCCCCAGCTCGGGTCTCAGGGACCCTCATAGCTTGTTTGATGATGAAGCCTCCTTTTCCCAGCTCTTCCCTCTGGGCAACCGCTTAACTCGGAAGAAGAACCCCCGAGTCTACGGGAAGCGCTGTAAAAAGCCAAAGCCCCCGCCACCGCTGGAGCCCAGTGGCGAGTTCCAGGGCAGCGCTGCTCTGTCCTCTGCCCGCCTGCCCACAGACCTCAGTGACTCGGGCTCCCTCTGCTTGTCCCACGAGGACCCGTGGAGTGACGAGGCCGTGAGCCTGCCCGAATCCTTCCTCCTGGAGGGCTTCCTCAGCAGCAAGATGCCTGGCATTGACCCCTGGGCCCCTGGGCCCAGACCGTGGGCCCTGGAGCCTGACCTGGATGCAGACTATGCCAAGCAGGGGCCCTCCTGCAGCGCCGAGGATCACCCATCAGAGAACATCCCTGAGCTGCACATGGTCCCAGAAGCTTGGCGAGGCCTGGAGCTGCAGGCTCCCACTGATGAGACCACCTCTTCTTTCGGAGACATGAGCCCCGAGCCTCCCAACCTGGAACGAGAACACTATGACTGCGGACTCCCAGGGAACGCCATGGATCTCGAGAGCTTCGGCGCCAAACTTGAAATGCAAGATCTGTGCTTCCTGGGACCCTGTGAGGACCCTGTGGGTCTCCCCAGCATGAGCTTCTTAGACTTCAAGGCCACAACAAACTCCCAGGGACCACGAAGCGAAAGGACAGAGGAGGCAGCCGGGGCCAGAAGGACCCCAGGCAGGCACAGGCAAGCCAAGGCCGGGAGGGCACCCTACAAGTGCAGGGTGTGCTTCCAGCGCTTCCACAGCCTCGGTGAGCTGGACCTCCACAAGCTGGCCCACAGCCCCTCGCCTCCCCCCACTTGCTACATGTGTGTGGAGCGCAGGTTTGGCTCTCGTGAGCTGCTGCGGGACCACCTGCAAGAGAAGCATGTACAGGGCCGGGCAGGGCTGTGGGCCTGTGGCATGTGCCTGAGGGAGGTGGCCGACATCTGGATGTACAATGAGCACTTGCGGGAGCACGCCCTTCGGTTCGCCCGCAAGGGACCGTCACGGAGGTCCCTGGGGGACCCTCCTAGATGCTGGGAGGGGGACAGCACTGTCACACACTTTCTGAGCAGCATCATGGGGCAGGTGTCCAAACCCCACAAGGGCAAGTGCTCAGTTGGCCAGGCAAATGAGGGCCCTGCAGAGAGGGAAAGGGCAAAACCCAAGGCTCGCGCCAACAACTCAAACCAGGATGGCGCCTCGATGACAGACAGCACCTTGGCCAATGGCAGCCCGTCAGCCTGCAAAAACCCCACTCCTCCCAGCAGTTCTGCTACTCTCCCCAGCTCCACCAAGACGTGCCCCAACCCGTCCCCTGACCCCTGCTCCAATCGCGAGCTTCTCCTCCACAGCATCCCAGTGCACCAGGACTGCAAGGACCCCTCCCGCGACTGCCACCACTGCGGGAAGCGGTTCCCCAAGCCCTTTAAGCTGCAGCGCCACCTGGCGGTACACAGCCCGCAGCGCGTCTTCCTGTGTCCCCAGTGTCCACTGGTCTACCCTGAGCCTCGTGAGCTCCGCATGCACCTGGCCAGGGAGCATGGAGTGAGGGAAGAGCAGGAGATGCAGCATACCCTGCTGTACACCTGTGAGCTCTGTGCCAATGTCACACACATCAGCAAGAGATCCTTTGTCTGCAGCTCCTGCAACTACACATTCACCAAGAAGGAGCAGTTCGACCGACACATGGACAAACACCTGAGGAGGGGGCAGCAGCCCTTCACATTCCGTGGGGTACGGAGGCCAGGAGCCCCTGGGCAGAAGGCCCCAGCTCGAGAGGGCACACTGCCCAGCAAACGGCGAAGGGTGGCCACGTCCAGCAGCGCCCCCGGGCCAGTTGTGGACCAGTCTCTACCCCTGGACAGCAGCCCCACCCTCAGTGAGGTGACCACCCCAGCCCTGCTCCAGCCCTGCCTGGAGGCGGCTCCAGGTGGCATCAAGGGTCAGCCCAGGACCCCAGAGAGACCCATGGACCCTGTGAGCAACGTGGTCAGGGGGAGCAATCTGCCCTCTGACCCCCAGGAGCTCTTGCTCCCATCTCTGTCTCCTTTCCCAGCGGCCTCAGCTGGTGGTAAAAATGGCCACAAGCCAGACCAAGCCCAGGAAAGCCACACAAACGAGGCTTCCCCAGGCAGCCCAAGGCCTCTTCTACAGCAGGCTTTCCCAGTGGAGGGGCCTCTGCCCTGGCCAGGGGCCAGAGGCCGAACTATAGAGGAACAGAGGCCTGTTGGCCTGTTCTCAGGGAAATGCAGGACCCCAGGTACCCCTGGCAAATGTGCCCCTGCCTATTGCCCAGAAGCACCCTCCCTGCTCCAGAAGAAGCAGGTGTCTACATGCCACGTGGTGCCTGAGGGGAACACAGGGGGCTCTTCCCACAAAGGCAGTACTGCCAAGCATGGGGGCTGCCGGAATTCATCGAAGGACAAGTCAGCTTTGTCCACCCCCAACAAAGCACCCAAGTTCTCAGTGCCATCAAAGAAGGCCACGGTCAGCCCAACACCTGGAGAACCAACCCATGGCACTGAGGACAAGCAGAAGCCCACTGCCCTCAAAACCAAGCCGGGCCCCAACAGTGGAGGCCATGGAGGCCAACAGCACAGCACCAAGACAGCAGGTGGCAGCCAGCCCCAGCCAGCCAGCGGGCAGCTCCAAAGCGAGACAGCTACCACCCCAGCCAAGCCCAACTGCCTAGGCCAGAACCCCACCCCAGACAAGCCCCTGACTCGAGCTCCAGCCAAGAGCTACTCTAAGGCACCAAGGGAAGCTGGTAACCAGAGGCCCCAGGGGAGCCCGGGCCCCAGGGAGGATGGGGAGGGCAAAGAGAAGAAGAGAAAGGGCCGGGCCCTCGGACCAACCAAGAACGAAAATGTGGGGAGCTTGGGGAGAGCTTCAGTCCCTGACAAACCACCCCGGGCTCCCCGAAAGCAGGCTACTCCCAGCCGTGTGCTCCCCTCCAAGACCAGATCCAGTAGCCAGAACAGCGCAACGCTGCCCCAGCCCTCTGAGCAGCAAAAGGGGGAGCCTGGCCACTCATACCGAGACTTCAGACGCAACAAAGACGGGCTGGGCAAGGCCTTCCCTGAGGCGAGACCCCTGCACAGGCCCCCTAAGAGGGGCAGAGCTATCCATGGTGCTGAACCTGCCAACCCCCGTGCCTGCTGGACAGCTGAGTCCCAGAGCGACCTCCTCAGCCAGCTCTTCGGACAGAGACTAACCAGCTTCAAGATCCCTTTGAAAAAGGACCCTTCTGAATAATTTATAGGAGTGAGCAAGTGCATGGGAGAAGGGCTGGGGGACAAGCCCAGCAAATGAGGGACTCCTGTCTACACTGGTGAGCTTCAGTCTTCTGAGAGAGTTCGCTTGGAGGCCACATCTTAATCCATCTGACTTACCATACAGATGCTCAGACTTCGGTGTTAGAGTTGAGACTAATGCTTTGAGCAGAGCCTGGGGTGGATGGACAGCTAGAAGGCGAGGGTGAAGGGCAGGCCAGCTGCAGTCTCTTTGAGACCACACAGCTGTTTTCTCAGTACCAAGAACTTGAAGGAAGAGCAGCTCACACCCCACATACTGTGTGCTCCGGTTGTGTAGGCACAATACACCACAGAAGCCCCTCCTTTGACGGTTTGCAGAGGATCCCCCTCCCTATGTCAGCTATCAGGGAAGTGCAATGAGGCAGCCATGGTCAGAAGGCGGCAGACCCCTCTTAGTCTTGTTGCTGCTGTAGCTGGAATTCCAAAGTGGCTTTACAAATCAAATGGGATGGGGGGTGGGGAGTGGCAGGGCTCTCCGCCTAGAAGAGTGGTTTGTGAGCTGCCTGACCCCCCCCAGAGCACAACAGGCCTTCTCTGACAACACGATCTTGACGGCCACTGTCTGTACCACCAGCAGAAGCATTGGTCTCCAATGCACCTTGACCCCTGAGGACCAGGTTCATATCCAGACAGGGAGAAAGCTGCTCACTGGCTAGCTTCTACCGGTCCACTGGTTGGTCCTCCCTCCCCATCCCACCCCTCTTCCCCCGGCCCCAACCCAGCCTCTGCAATTGATTTCTAGAGCCTTCCTCCTACACGGAGCTCTCGCTGCAAATATCAGCAATTTAGCTCTGAAGTTTCTGGTGCTATTTTCATGTTGTAATGTGAATACAGGCTTCCTCAATTTGTTTTACTTAGGGGATTGGGTGGGGAGACAGGGCGGGGAGGCGCAATGGGGGCTGTATAGAAGGCCCACAGGCACCAGCTGCCCTGAGAAGTCTTTCACTGGCTCCCCCGTGCCAGCAAGCTCCAGCCCCAGGGTTGCAGTCAGAGCAGCCGGCTAGGACACTCAGGGCCGGGTATGGTGCTGCTGGCATCTCATGCACTGACGTGACCCAGGGGTCGGTACACGTCCTTTTTTCAGAATTGTGTCTTTGAAGGGGGTAGGAGGGTGGGAGAGGCTTCCTTCTGTTCTTGGGTGTCTGAAGTTTGTGGTTTGTTTCCTTTTTTTATCATTGTCTTTTCCAAAGAACCCTGCCTTCTCATGATGTACCCAAATTGTGTCTTTTTTTTTTTTTTTTTTTTTTTCATTTTTGCCTTGGGTGCAATGTGTATGTCAAAAGTTTTTATCTTGGTATTCTGAAAGAGACCAAATCAGGCCCAAATCTTCTTTCTAGAAGGTGTTGTGTGCCACTCAGAATGCCTCTTTAGTCCTGATAAATAAAACGTGGAGGAACTCTGAGGCTATACTGTACGAATCACAGCATACTCATCCTGTCAAATACATTCCCACTATTTTCACAGAGAGCCTCTGCTGTGTGGTGCCTGTCCTCCCACCAGCCCTACCTTGCCTGCCCTCCCAGACCCGGAACCTGGTTCATAAAGTGTCAGCTTCAGCTGCTACTTCCATCCCATCACCTAGTCTACCTGGCCTAAGAAGCAAAGTGGTCTCACCAGTCCCTCCAAGGTTATTACCACAGTGTAGATAATGCCATAGCATAGCCTCTCTTTGTTTCTGAAGCCTCATGGCTTTGGGCTGGGGCCCTTGGGGAGCAGAGCAGGAGAAATAAAGTGTCAGGAAATCATTAATGTGGCTTGGTTTAGGGGACACGGGAAGGTATCAGAGGCAGCATGAGGGGTGAAACCAGGAAATCCTCCCCCATTGCAGGCTCAGACCCCTGGGGCCCACCATGTCCTGAAGATCCCCTCACAGACTCCAGTGCCAGGGACAAGCACCTGGAAGGCAAATGAGGCTTAGAGTCAGGCACCCATCTGGTTCCACCCCTGATGGCCACCTGGGCCCAGGTATGAGGGAGACTGCTCAAAGCAGGCCCTCAGCAGCACGTGCTGGGAAGGGGAGGAGAGGCTCACTGAGCCCTTTCCACAGAGAGGGATCCCACATGTGAAACTGTAACTGGGATCTCGTCACTCCTGTCCAGGTCCACAGAGCCCCTGCCCCACCCACACACTCCTCTACCACCTCGCTCACCTTCATCCTGCCAGGCCATTGCCTGTGCAGTTCTTGCCACCAGGAACGCCCTTCCCAGCTCCTCTCCCTCAGTCTCAGCCCCTCCGATTGATCGGTGCACCACCCCCAACCCCAGGTGGGCGGCCATGAGGGACTCAGCGAGGGGGCCTGGCCCATCATCTCACATTTACACACCTACTTTGCACTGGGAAATGAACCAGATGCATCCCCCTCCCTCATGGAATTCCAAACAGATTCTGTTGTGAGTGGGGGCTTTTGTCTCTTTGGGGATCGCCATAGCAGGGCCACAGACAGGACTGGAGATCAAGAATGGAAAGGGATGGGAAGAGCCGTGAGTGCAGCATAAAGGTGAGAGGGAGTGGGGTGGAGGCGAACGAGTTTGAGCCGTGTTTGAGAAAGACTGGGGACTTGGGATGGAGACCCATGGGACACAGAGGGTCCACAGCACTGGGTGCTCCCATTCTTGGGTGCCCCCCATTCAGCCCACCATACCTCAGGCAGGGCCTAGGGCCAGCAGCATCCACATCACTTGGGAACGTGGTGGACATTCTAGGCTCTACCCCAGACTTCAATCAGATGCTCTGGGGCAGGCGGACAGACACTCTGTGCTGTCACATGCCCTTTGGGTGCTGATGCTCATGGCATTTGGAGACCCACCGTGGCTCCAGTCTGTTCAGGGACTGGCATGAGCAAGCCGCGCGACTCCTGTGACTGAAGCCCCCTCCTGTGGCCATAGCCCCCAGGGTGGACACACTGGCCTGACCAGCAGGTGGCAGCATTCGCCCAGCTTGGCTGGGCACCTGGGTTGGACAGCTGGACTCTAGGCCTCTGCATTGTCCGCTGCTCCCACTCACGAACACAATAAACATGCACCCAGCCTCACCAGCAGGCTCAGAGACTCGTGCTTACTGCACACGTGTGTACACTCCTTCATGGCCTCACACACGCTGACATGGCATGTGGCCCACACACAAACACTTGACCCTCCCAGACAACGCTGAGATGTGAGTACTATGGGCCCTGGCCCTTGAGAGGTCCCCATGCAGGCATCCTAAAGGGCCCTTTTGAACCATGGGAGTGGGCTGGATGAGAATGGAAGAGAGTTCGGGCAAAAGCAGCCTGGGCACAGGAGCCCTGCAGGAGCTACTGCTCCCTAAGGATCTAAGAAAATGCCCAGCCATCCTGCAGCTGAGAAAATGAGGCACAGCACCACCCCGCTCCACGTGCCCCAAATGTCCTCAGGCAGGGCTGCTTCTGCCTTGGCTCACCACCTAGGAAGGCAGCAGGTCTTTCCAGGGGCTGCCCCGAAGCAGACGGGAGTGGGCAGAGGGAGACGTGTTAGCAGAAGGTCACATAAATGTCTGTATTGTTCAACTGCATCCTCTAATAAGTCCCAAAGCCTGACCCCAGTGACCCCTCAGGCCCACCAGCCCAGAAATGGGTGGGAGAGAAGACAGTGCCTGGGACCAGGTGAGGAAGTACAGGAGTTGGCAACAGGCTGGGAGAGAGAGGAAGGGGGTGGAGGCCTGGATTTGGGTGGTCAGGGCAGCCAGAGGGACAGCAGCTGGCGATGGGGCGGAATTCCCCTAGGCCCCATAAAGGGGGAGCTTTGCTGGCCACAACCACCTAGAGAACCCATTGGAGAATGTTATCTAAAGTGAGGTTTCCTTGGATTCTGGGGCCACAAATGCCTTAGAGACCAAGAAAGTGTGTAGACAGCCACACTCACAGTGAGAAGAATCCAACAGAAAGGATCCCACAGAGCTGGCCTCAGAGGAGCAGACAGCTCCCAGGGAAGGGGCAAATCCTTGGCACTCTGAGGTGGCCAGTGTCAGGATTCCTTGAAGCATCCTCCGTGAAGGGACAGGACTTGGAGGCCCATGGGCTCTGCCCATGTCACGTGTGAATGTGCCACATGTGGACTCTGACAATCCAGCTTTGAACCAACATGCCTCCTGTCTCTCTGCCTGTCCAGTGGGTGGGCAGCACATTTCCCCAGAAGCTTGTCCTCAGGTGCCCAAGTTCCTGCTGCTGTGGGGATGGTGTCCCCAGAGTAGCCAATCTGAGCCCCTTGGGGCTGTCTCTCCTTCCTGCCCACTCTAGGCCTGGGCACCCAAGGCCAGGGACACTTTCCCACAGGGTACTGTCTACCTCACTGACCAGCTGGTGTGGCCTTGTGGGCTGTAGCTCAAGGCCACAGACTTCCTCCTGGGAGCCCCCAGGCAGAGAGAGGAGGCAGGAGACAGCCTCCCGAGGCCAAAAGTTTAGCTGGGCTTGAACAGACTGCACCTTGGCCTGCACTGTTGAGAGATACCCCTAGGACTGTGTCTGGGGCCTAGGAGGGAAGGTGGGTGTGTTCCGTCAGCACAGGCACTGAGGATGGCCTCTGAGCTGGAAGCCAGGAGACCTCAGGTTCATCATTATCCTCAGGGCACCTCAGTTTTCTTGCTCATTAAATGGGTACAACAATCACCAAAAACCCTTCCAGCCGAGACATTCAGAGGCTCTATCTGAGGCCTAAGTGCTGTGGCTCACTACTGGTGGATCTCACTACTCTGCCCAGACCCTTTCCCACCAGCATGCACTTGGTTCCTTCTTCGGGTCTGTACTCAAATAGCTCCTCCTCTCTGTGGTCTCTCTAACCACCTGTTTAAGGTGGCAGGTGCACCCTCAGTGACCTGGTGGGCCCCCGCTGCTTTATTTATAGCACATTTGACTTTCTGATGTGCCCCAGGGCCCACTCCTTAACTGTGACTGTTGTTCTCCTGTGGCTTGACGCTGGGAGATGTGTTGTATATATTCACGATTGTGCCTTTAGTGCCTAGAGTGAGAGCTCAATACATGTTTGAGGGCGGGAAGCAGGAAGAAGGGGATAAGGGAGGAGGAAAGGGAGCAGGGCAGGGGGGTGGGAGCAAAGGAAAGGGGAATAAGGCAGGAGGGAGGAGGGGGAGGGGGGAAAGAAGGAGAATGAAAGAAAGGAAGTCTTCCTGTGAGGAAGTGTGCATTTCCTATCTGGTGATGTAACCACGTGACCCCAGCTCTCAGAGTTGGGAAATGTCCAGATAATACTTCCTTCCAGATAATACTTGCTGCCGGTACCGCCTTGCCCCACGGGGTCAATGGGCCACATTTGGGCAGCTGCACAGAAGCATAACTCTAGCTAACACCAAAAGACCTAGGACAGGTTCCAGGCAACAACCTTTGTGTCCCAGGATATCAGAGGGTGCAGCTTTTTAGAGATGCTGGCTTTACAGAGAACAGGGCTCCTGTGCCCAGGCTGCTCTTGCCATTCCAGAAGAAGGGGTTGGTCCCATGTGGTCTCAGGCCCACTCTCTCTGCTGTCCTTCAGACGGAGTCCCCAGCTGTGGAAAGAACTGCTTGAGCCCAGTCTCCAAGGCCAGAGCCACCCATCCACGATGGGAGCAGCGAAGTCAGCAGCCCACCCACCTGCTCCTACCAGCCCGGGGTGGCCCAGGCAGCATCTAGTTGTCCCTGAGCCAGCTCCTCCCCTGCCGCCCCCACAGACAGCCTCCTAATTCCTAACTTAATTTATTTTGACATCCTTGCTGCTGTTTGACCTCCTTATAGAGTCACATGGTGCTAAAACTCATTATCCCCCCCTTGAAACAGGAAGTTAATTAAACCCTTCACAAAGCCGGTGTTGACGAATGTCAGGATGGG